GTCTGGATGTGGTCCTTGGGGTCATGGATTAGGGTGATCCTGGTGGTGCTGGGGAGGCACTGGATGATCCTGGAGGTCTCTCTCTCCCAGCCTTGATTCTGTGACTCCAAGAGAGCTGAAGTGGGAATGATTCCATGGCTGCACTGGAGACACAGGGTTTGGGCAGGGCAATAAGAGACACTTGGTCTGTGATTTGAGCACGAGGCAGAAATAGCACAGCTTATTTCTTCATTTGTTTTTTTTAAGGAGGGAGTTGATTTAGTGCAGTCTGAAGTCACTGAAAAATGATAAACACGAACCCTCACGACAACATCTTTCCCGTGTCAATTTATGTAAATCCAGCCTGGATTTTCTTTGATCTCCCCAGAGAGTGGCTCCTAATTTACAGTTTTCTTCAGCTGTAATGTGTGGAGATCATCCATCATTGCTAAGTGCCTTTGGGCCTGTCTGTTTTGGGACAAGATGAGGGAGTATCAACTCTCATACTCCGATAATTAAAGCTTTTAAGTACACTCTGAAAACATTTCCGAGATGGCATTTGCGAAGGAAGAGCTTTTAAAATGATTTTGAACCCCTCCCTGCCTAGACAGTAAAGAAAACCCCTTTAAAAGTGCCCCCCTTGGGCAGAATTCGAAGTGTTTGATGGACTCAGCAAATCTGGGACTTGAGTGGTGGAGATGATGAACCCCAGGGCAGAGGGAAATTGTCCCAGCAGAATTTTATGGGTTTCTTTAGACAATCACAGGAACAGGTTGCCCAGAAAAGCTCCCCCTGGATCCCTGGAAGTGTCCAAGGCCAGGCTGGATAAACTTGGAGCAACCTGGGCTGGTGGAAGGTGTCCCTGCCCATGGCAGGGGGTGGCACTGGATGAGCTTTAAGGTCCCTTTCCAACCCAAACCATTCAGGGATTCTGTGAATGCAAAGAAAAAATTACATTTCCAGCTCATTCCTCTGGATATTCCAGTGGACACCCGTAATTCCAGAACTCCAGAAAGCTCTGCAATGAGGTGTGTTCAGGGGAAAAGCAAAGATAATTAATCCCAAGCTAATTGTGTGTAACTAATGCAATATCTGTGCTGTCCACTAGATGATGCAGCTGCACTGCAGAGAAATAAGGAATTACAGTATATCCACACACAGTTACAACCCTATTTATGTTTTTTAACCCTGGATTATATTTTTCATAGTAAAAAGTATTGTCTTCAATGACACACAACGATTGGATTTCGACAAATAGTTGAAAATTCCATTTTCTTTCTGCTGGTTTCAAGTGAAACTTGGAGCTTTTTAGTCTTTTCTCTCTGTTTTATTGTATTTTAACTCATTTGGAGTTGCTCCTCTTTCAGCTTGAATCATGTCATTCCTCCTTGAACCTGTCACTCAAAACAGAATTATTAGTTCAAATTTTGCTACTTTGGGCTGGATGATCTTGAAGGTATGGATGATTCTGTGAACTTTAATGGTTTGGTTGCTGAGGTTGCAGTGAAGTCTCTGCTCATGTGTTTTATTTCTTCAGAATTAGGAGCCAGATGAATCTTTTGCACAGATCCCTCTCAGTAATGTCCTTTGATGCAGCTGATTGAACTTGGATTGAAATGTTTCCTCTGGCTGGGGTGATTTTGGCGAAGAGAAGCTTTGGGGTGACCTGATTGTGGCCTTGCAGGACCTGAGGGAGCTAAAAGAAAGATGGGGAGAGACTATTTCCAAGGGCTGGAGTGACAGGACAAGGGGGAATGGCTTCAAAGTGACAGAGAGCAGGATTAGATGGGATCTTGGGAAGGAATTGTTGGCTGTGAGGGTGGTGAGGGGCTGGGATAGAATTCCCAGAGAAGCTGTGGCTGCCCTTGGATCCCTGGAAGTGTCCAAGGCCAGGTTGGATGGGGTTGGAGCAACCTGGGCTGGTGGAAGGTGTCCCTGCCCATGGCAGGGGAGTTTGGAACTGGATGATCTCTAAGGTTCCTTCCAACCCAAACCATTCTGTGCTGCCAGAACTTGTCAGATGGGCACTGCAGCCCTGGCAGATCCATCCAACAGGCTCTGGAGGTGCTATTTTTGTCTCTCCCTCCCTCTGGAGCTGCTCTGGAAGGAGCTGGCAGTGGCAGTTTGGCTCTTTTGACCCTTGGCAGGCGCCGCTGGGAGGACAGAGGGACACTCAGCATGAGACTGGTGCCATCCCTGTCTGTGCCACCCTGCCTGGGCTGGCATCCAGAGCCTGCATGTCTGTCCATGAGGAGCCAGCAAGAAATTCCCAGGGAATTTATGTCTCCTTCCCTTGGGATGAGCTTGGCACGGACAGAGGTGCTCGGAGTGGGTGGGCTGGCCTGGATGTTGGAGAGAGCCCAGGATGGACCATGCAGTGCCAGGGGGACTCATGCTGCTCCAAACTGTCCCTGGTGGGTACTTGGATGCTGGACTGGCCATTCCCTGGCTCTGGAGTGGGAAAATACTGTGTAGGTCATGAGAGACTCCTAAAGTCCTGCTGGGAGAACAGTGTGGATGGGCTGGGAGGTGGAATGGGAGGGTGGGCTGGGACAGGAGGGGTGGGTGGTGCCCCCAGAGAGGGGCTGTTTTAATAATGAAGGTGAGAGAGAATTTGGAAACCTCAGGCAGGTTCCTGTGTGTGCCTGTGTGTGCCACAGCCAGGGCTATCCCAGCTTGTGCAGAGCAGGGATATTTGGGTTCCTTGGCATTTTTTTGGCAGCGATGGAGCCTTTTGGTTGTGCTGGTCCATCTGGGTGTCTCACTGTTCCACTCACAGATGGAGATGGGCACGGATCCCTCCGTGTTTCCAGGTGGGAAACCTTTCATTTCCCACACCAGGCTCCTGGTCCATCAGTGTATCACGGAATCCCAGAATGGTTTGGGGTGGAAGGGACCTTACAGACCACCAAGTCCAACCCCCTGCCATGGGTAGGGAACCTTCAACTAGAAAAATCAGTTGATCCCATATCTATTTGATGCTGATTTAATTCCACTTGGCTCCAACAAAGCCTTTGACGTGTTACCTCAGGGCTTCATTAGGCAAATTTTAGTTCCAAAATGACAGAGATCACTTAATTTTTTTTTTCAGGAAAGAACAAAATTTATTTCAGTGACAGGGATTTGCTATGGCCTGGGAGGAGGATCAGAGAGTGGGACTCCTCTTCCAACATGCTGTTGGGGCTGGAAGCATCAGGGTGTAGGAGGCTGAACTTGGGGAAAGCTGAGAGTGTGTCTTGAGGTATCCCAGAATCCCAGAGTCACTGAGGTTGGAAAAAGCCTCCAAACCCACCAAGTCCAAGCTGTTCCCAGTCCCCACCTTGTCCCCCAGCCCAGAGCACTGAGTGCCACGGCCAGGCCTTCCTTGGACACCTCCAGGGATGGGCACTCCAAACCTCCCTGGGCAGCCCCTGCCAAGGCCTCCCCACCCTTTCCAGCAACAAATTCCTCCTCCTGTCCAACCTGAGCCTCCCCTGGCACAGCTGGAGGCCGTTCCCTCTCCTCCTGTCCCTTATTCCCTGGGAGAAGAGGCCCCATCCCTGGAAGTGTCCAAGGCCAGGTTGGATGGGGCTTGGAGCAACTGGAAGGTGTCCCTGCCCATGATAGGGGGTGGAACAAGATCTTTAAGGTCCCTTCCAACCCAAATCATCTTGGAATTCTGTGATTTAATGAATGTGTGCCAGGCAATGGATCTACCCTGGGCACAGACTGCCATGTCACCTCTACACTTTTGCCCACCTGGGCCTTATAAATAAAGCCAAATACGCCCAAAAAAGCCACCACATTCACACTCCTGGGCTTTGTCCTGGTTTATTCCTCCCTGAGAATAATCAGGAAGCCTGAAAGAGGAGACCTTCCCTGAATCTGAAGGAATATCCTGCTGAAGTTTCGAGCTGTAACACCAAAAGTAGGTGGAACCTCATATCACAGCCTTGATTAATTTTTATTAACATGCTTTTTGAAATTCTCATGATAAGAACCCAGTGGGTTAAACATTCCTAATTTCAGAATAAAGTGGTTTTGCCAAAGTAAACGTGCAGAGAATTGGGAAACAAAGAAACCCCAGCCCGTTGCAAAATGAACCAGCCTGAAAAATGTCCCTTATGTCCCCATGTTCCTCTGGAGTGTCCCCCCCCCCCCTCCCCACACTGCTTCAGGATGAGAGTAAGGTTTGAATGGAAGTCAAAAAACACGATGCAACTGCTGAATGTCAGGCAGGGGGGAAATGGGAGCGTTCCTGGGGTAATTCAGAAAACAGCTGCTGCAGTGCTGGGTTTGTTGAGAAAAGATGCTGCTCCCCTTGGGAGGAAGAGACAAATTTCTGGTAACTTGGTGTCCTGGGGGCAACAGGCAACAGGGCTGTGATGCTGTGAGAGCCCAGACAGGCAGCAGATGTCACAATACAAGGACCTGGAGCAAATCCTCTTGACAGTTGAGGTGGTAAATGTAGAGCTAAATGGATCAAAACCCTCTGTTTAAAAGGAGGGAAGGTCAAAAGAGGACTTAGAGTAAGTTATTTAAATCATTCTTTAAATACCTCTTCCAGTCCTAGAGCCTGAGCTATTTTTACCTGTCTCAAAGCTCTCCATGATTAATAAATATTGTGAAAATATGGAATATGCTGGTTGTTACTGGTTGCAGGCTGCAGCTGATACCTAAATCAAGCTCTGCTGACAGAAAGCTCCACTTGTCCACCCACTTTGCCCTCTGACCACCTCAATATTAGGGAATCATCCCCTCCATTAGTGCACTTATATGGAGAAGAATGATGTGGAATGGGGGGTCCCAGCAGCTCCTTTGTTTATAGCCAGGAACCATCTGAGTTCTTAAAACAGCACGAAAACCAGCTCCTGTCAAACAAACCTCCCCTCTGCGCTCGGCGCCGCCCGGGATTTGTCCCCGGCAGGAAGCTCAGGCCCTGCCTCGTGGATGCAGAACTTACAGTCACTCCAGAGTGGGGGGGGGGGGGAAAAAAAGAACCCTTTCATCACGTTGGGTTTTTCTTCGCTGTTTTATTTCACTTAAGACATCACTCAGGACCAAATGGGGTTTGTCAGGGGTAATTGGCGAGCGCCGGAGGCGGTTTTCGGGGCCGGCTGGATGGAAAATCTCAAAGCAGTTGTCTTGTGCTGAAAGAAAATATTGCATTTGATCTTTTTATGATTCCTGCAGACATGATGTATGTCTGCATTCCTCGGCCCAAGGAATTCGTGGTGTTTGGGTTTCGTTGCCTTTAAGTGACAGGAAGTGACACTTCACCCTTTTTTTTGCAGTATTGTCTGAGAATTAACCACAACATAATGGTAATGTACATTTTTTTTTATGCTTCACAGGGATTTGCTTTTATTAGCCATTTCTTGTGGTTTTGCTCGTTGGCACATTTCAGATCCTTCCAGTGATAACTCTGGCTATTGTGTTTTGTCTGTGTTTGGATTCAAACACAAATTTCTTCTGAAGCCTTCTTGCTAAATTGTGGCCCCCTCAAAGATTCCCTTCCAAGAAATCAGCTTTGCCCTGGTGAAGTTGTACAAATGTGTCGTTGCTCTTGTCACCTCTGCCCCTCAGCTTTTTGGTCATCGAAACAAAGGACAGATAATTTTACATTAACATCATGGTTTGTGGCTCCAGAGCTGGAGTGGGATCATGGAATCATGGAATGGTTTGGGTTGGAAGGGACATTAAAGATCATCTAATTCAAACCCCCTGCCACGGGCAGGGACACCTTCCACCAGCCCAGGTTGCTCCAAGCCCCATCCAACCTGGCCTTGGACACTTCCAGGGATCCAAGGGCAGCCACAGCTTCTCTGGGAATTCTATCCCAGCCCCTCATCACCCTTACAGGGAAGAATTCCTTCCCAATATCCCGTCTAACCCTACTCTCTGTCAGTTTGAAGCCATTCCCCTTGTCCTGTCACTCCATCCCTGGTCCAAGGTCCCTCTCTTGGAGCCCCTTTAGGCCCTGGAATGGGCTCTAAGCTCTCCCTGGAGCCTTCTCCTCTCCAGGCTTTGGGGTATCTTCCTAATGCCTTCCTGGTACCACGTAAAACCCAATACCAGGGAGTGAATAGTAACTCCCAGAGCCCCTGACAGCCTCAAAAACTGCTTAAAACCACAACTCTGGGCTCCTCAGCATTTCAAAACCTCCTGCCACATCTGCCATCATGAGGTTGGCCAGAATATGACAAGATGACATGAAGAAAAAGATGTTAATTTTTGGTGATGTCCCCGCGTGTCACATCTGGGCACCTCTAGAATATTTCCAGACACAGGGACTCCACCACCTCCCTGGGACACTTATTCCAAGGCCTGACCACTCCTGCAGGGAAAAATTGTTTCTAATCTCTCATCTCAACCTGCCCTGGTGCAATTTGAGGCCATTTCATCTCCTCCTTTCCCTTGGGACATGGCAGCAGAGCCCAGCTCCCACCTCACCAGAGCTGGCAGATCCAGACCATTGGGAATGGGGGGTTTGTTACTTTTGCTGCCTGTGGAATAACTTGGTGCAATAACACACTTAGTGCAGAATTCAGTGAGAAAGAAACACCACTTTTTTGGGGCTTGAGCTACTCAGCCACATCTGCTGTGACTCTGTTGATTGTCACTTTTCCACAGTTCCCAAATTAATGCCACATCAGAGATCCCCGAGCCAACAGCACAATTAGTTAACAAAGCTGTGTGGGATCATGAGCAAAATGAAAGACAAGCTGTGACAAGTCTCTTCTATCCCCAAAAGTTTTGTGGGCCTTGTTTAATTATCATCCTCAAGCAGTTGCTGTTGTCTTCTTGTAAATCTTGTGTGCGAGTGTTCAGGAGTGTTTTGCTTTATTTTTGTCACCAATCAGCAGAACATTAAATGCACAAAGAGCCCTTGGTTCTTCTCCCCTCCTTTGGCACGTGGAGCTGAGGGCTGGGTGGTGTGTGTGAGAAACCAGCAGGTTTTGGCAAAAAAGTGCCAATTGAATGTTTTCAGCAGGAGGGGAGAGTGTGGTGCCAGACCCCACAGAACAGCAGTGCCTCAGGTCACTGGTGTTTGACTTCCTGCAGGATGTGTACAGGGCTGTGTGTTCAGGGAAAAGAGGAGCCACAGAGGGTGGCTGAGGAGTTGGAGCATCCAGCAGATCCCAGAATCGCTGAGGCTGGAAAAGCCCTCCCAGCTCATGGATCCACCCTGTGCCCCATCCCCACCTTGTCCCCCAGCCCAGAGCACTGAGTGCCACAGCCAGGCCTTCCTGGGACACCTCCAGGGATGGGCACTCCAAACCTCCCTGGGCAGCCCCTGCCAAGGCCTCACCACCCTTTCCAGCAACAAATTCCTCCTCCTGTCCAACCTGAGCCTCCCCTGGCACAGCTGGAGGCCGTTCCCTCTCCTCCTGTCCCTTGTTCCCTGGGAGCAGAGCCCGACCCCCCCCGGCTCCCCCCTCCTGTCAGGGGGTTGCAGAGCCAGAAGGTCCCCCCTGAGCCTCCTTTTCTCCAGGCTGAGCCCCCCCAGCTCCCTCAGCCCCTCCTGCTGCTCCAGCCCCTTCCCCAGCTCCGTTCCCTTCCCTGCACACGCTCCAGCCCCTCCATGTCTCTCTTCCATGAGGTTCCAGACCTGGACACAGCCCTGGAGGTCCCTCAGCAGTGCCAGCACAGGGGACAATCCCTGCCCTGGGCTGTGCCCACACTATTCCTGATCCAGGTTCCATTGGCCCCTTGCCCCCCTGGGCACACCCGGGCTCGTGTCCAGCCTCTGTCACCAGCACCCCCAGGGTCTTTCCCAATCCTTTCCATCCCCTCTGTCCCAGCCTGGAGCTGCAGGGGGTTGTTGTCACCCAAGGGCAGGACCTGGCCCTTGGCCTGGTTGAACCTCCCACAGTTGGTCTCATCCCATCAATCCAGCCTGTCCTAAACCTTCTCAGGTGCTCTGGCCATATTTCAACCTGTTCTTCAGGAATGGATTCATTCCACTCCATGTTTGTTCTTCACTTGAGGCACTTTGAAGTCAATGGGATATTTAATTTGGGAATTTCACTGGCTGCAGGATGTTGGTGTCACCTTGTGATGGTTGGATTGTGGTGTGTGAAAATACTGCTTCAGTTCTCAACTGCAGTCAAAAATGAATGAACAGAGCATTTTTTGTCCCATGTATAATTCATACCTCTTTTTAGAAAGGAATAAGACAGTGTAGCCTTATACAATATAATGCAATAATATAAATAATATAACACACTCTGCTTTGGGCATCACTTCTTGAATCCAGCAAAAATAAGACAAGCAGATCCAGCAGAAGTAAAGGGAAGAGCAGAGACTGAAATGTTCCCTGCAGGAAATAAGTTTAACCATAGTAATTTTCCCGAGTTTGGGAAAATGGAAAAATGGGGTAGCAAAGGGTCATGATGGGCGACTATAAAATCCTGAATAGCATGGGGAAGGCAGATGGGGAAGGATTAAATATTCTTTCTCAAAGCACAAGCAGCAGGGGGTGCCTGGTGGGATCATAAAGCACAAAACAAAAGGGAAAAACTTTTCACAGTCGTGCGTAGTTGGTTTGTTGAGCTCATTCCCTCAAGATTGTCCTGGAGGCCAAAAGGAGAAATGGTTTCCAAGAGGGTCGAGACAAGGACAGAGCCAATGGTCTGGATGCAAACTGGAACAAGACCATCATGTTTGTTCTCTGTCCTGTGCTTTTCCCTGGGGGATCTGCCCTGGCTGCTGGAGGTTGGGAGGAGTTATCTCAGCTCCCACAAGGAATTGCCATTTCTTCCTACGTTGTTCTATTCAGAAGCTGCCAGATGGTTGCCTCAGCCATGGTTCTTTCATGCTCACACTCTCTTCTGGTTCTGTAACCACAGAAGGTGTCTCACAGGCTTGTAAGCCATGAGTTGGGCACAAGAGGTGATTTCTACTTCCTAAATGGATGGAATCATGGAATGGTTTGGGTTGGAAAGGACCTTAAAGAACATCCAGTGCTACCCTCTGCCATGGGCAGGGACACCTTCCACCAGCCCAGGTTGCTCCAAGCCCCGTCCAACCTGGCCTTGGACACTTCCAGGGATCCAGGGGCAGCCACAGCTTCTCTGGGAATTCTATCCTAGCCCCTCACCACCCTCACAGGGAATTACAATGTACAAGTCCCTCGTGTCTTCTCTAACTCTCTAAATTTGTGACTTAAGGACAGGCTTGACAAAACCTCAACATTTTTATTATTTAAGTCCTAAGGAGCCTTTCTTTGGCAAATCCTTTCTGGGTGGCAGATTTGATTTAGTCACAATAAGCTTTTGAGGGAAAAAGCACTGTAACAGTGTCCTACTCCTTTAACTGTGCATAATTTAAAATTCTATATTGTTTAAAAGAAAAATATCACCTGTTTGGTGGGTTTCAGTGGCATATCAGCACCTCAGGATCATGAACATCCAACTCAAAACAAAATGGTGTTTTATTTCTGCCGTATAGTTCCCCTCCACACGTGTCTCTGACATAAATTTTTACTTCTTCCTTTAAAATTATTAAAAGCAGCAAAGACTAAGGAACAGTCGGTTTAAAATTCTTGGTGTGCACGGTTTGGACTCGGTGCTTGGCCACTCATCTGCAGCCAAGAATATTTTTAAGAAGCTCTTGTGAGGCTTGCAGGAAATATATACGAGCTTTAAATGTCGGGTCTCGGGGGAGCGGAGAAAAATGCGCAATTGTTTTTGGGTTTGGACTCGTGCGATTGCGCCGATGACGTGAATGACGGTTTGTGCTCTTTATTTCTGCTCTTTCCAGGATGCTTTTGCAATGAGATGCTTCTCTGAAATAAGATTCTCCTGTTTGGGGAGTCGTTTTAAGGCGAAAGCAAATAATCGGCTATGGGAATGGAACTGGGGTGTTGATGGGAAGGAAGATGGGGTTGAACGGGGAAGAGGAATCAGAAAAGCTGATTTTTCGTCAGTCTGCCACTTTGTACCTTTTACCTGTGTTTTTTTTCTGGTTGTGAGAACTGGAGCAAAACCACTACAGGATCTTCTGGAATCAGAGAATATGCTGAGTTGGAAGGGACCCATCAGGATTATCGAGTCCAGCTCCTGGCCCTATGCAGGATACCCCAAAGAATCACACCATATGTTGGCTGTAGGGACAGCAGATCTCAGAATCATAAAATCACCAAGGTTGGAAGATTCATAGAACCCCAGAATCATTTGGGTTGGAAGGGACCACAAAGATCATCTTGTTCCAACCCCCTGCCGTGGACAGGGACACCTTCCACCAGCCCAGGTTGCTCCAAACCCTGTCCAACCTGGCCTGGGACACTTCCAGGGATGGGGAATCCACAACCTCTCTGGGCAACCTAATTAAGAACTTCAGGAAGAGAATTGTTTGCTTCTTGATTTTGAGAAGCTTTCGAGCAATTTTTTTTTAGCACTCAGAGTTCAGCACAAAAGAATCTCAACCCCTGAATGATCCCAGAATCATCAAGGCTGGCAGAGACCTTCAGGATCATCCAGTCCCACCCTCACCCAGCACCACCATGATCACCCCAAATCCATGTCCTCAAGGGCCACATCCAAACACCTCTGGAACACTCCCAGAGACAGGGACTCCACCACCTCCCTGGACAACTTATTCCAATGCATTTTGGGCAGGAATAAAAGCAGTTTCAACCCCTGTTGTGGTGCAGAGATTACTCTGTTGAGTGTTCAGCAGTGGGGTGTGAACCACAGCATTAAACTGTTTGCTTTCATAAAATATACATGGTGCAGGAGGGGGTCACAGCAGATATTTGCTTATCTTTCAGCTTGTTTGAAGACCAAACCACAGCCATGTTGGGATAAAACAACTGAGGTTAGATAGTGCTGTTAACTCCTCTCCCAGCTCACCACGAAAACCTCAGTGCTGATACACTTGTGCAAAGTGTACAGACCAGCAGAGGAATGAAAAAGAGCAGTGAGTGATGTGAGGGAGCTGCAAATCTGGGCTGGAACACAGTGAGAGTGGTGCCAGAGCCTTTCCAAGCGTGGTCACACTCCCAGGGGGATGCATCTCCTTGGAAAAACACACCAGCTGGGTTTTTCAAAGGTGTGCTCAAAGAAAATCAAAGTGTGTCAAGGGCCTGGTTGCCTTAGGCAGATTTGGGAGTCCAAAGCAGAGGTGATATCATGGCTGATTCTTCCAGCTTAAGTACAGAGCCAAGGAAATGTCTAAAAGACAAGAGTTTTACAGCTTTTTCCCTGTAATAATATTTTTTATGATGCTTCTGACTGATTTATAGAGAACTTTATCAAGGAAACGAGACATGGGATATGTGTTGTGACAGCTCCTGCAGGCTTACCTGCTCTGCTCCAGGAGACCAGTCAGTTCCCAGATACTGGAGATATTAATGATTTAATGAAGTTGTAGAATGGAAGTTGTGGACTCTCCATCCCTGGAAGTGTCCAAGGCCATGTTGGACAGGGCTTGGAGCAACCTGGGCTAGTGGAAGGTGTCCCTGCCCATGGCAGGGGGTGGGATGGGATGAGCTTTAAGGTCCCTTCCAATTGAAACCATTCTTTGATTCCATGATTATTAATATTAATTATAAAAAGCTTATTAATACATATATGGGTAACTCCTTCAGTTTATATAATGGACATGGAAAAAGTGTATCCAAAGAAGGGCAACGGAGCTGGGGAAGGGTCTGGAGAACATGTCCTGTGAGGAGCAGCTGAGGGAGCTGGGGGGGTTTATCTGGAGAAGAGGAGGCTCAGGGGGGACCTCATTGCTCTCCCCAACTCCCTGACAGGAGGGGGCAGGGAGGGAGGGTCGGGCTCTGCTGCCATGTCCAAGGGAAAGGAGGAGAGGAAATGGCCTCAAACTGCACCAGGGCAGGTTCAGGTCGGAGATTAGAAGGAATTTTTCCCTGCAGGAGTGGTCAGGCCTTGGAATAAGTGTCCCAGGGAGGTGGTGGAGTCCCTGTGTCTGGGAGTGTCCCAGAGGTGTCTGGATGTGGCCCTTGGGGACATGGATTCGGGGTGACTGTGGTGGTGCTGGGTGAGGGTGGGACTGGATGATCCTGGAAGTCTCTTCCAACCCTGATGGTTCTGGGATTCCCAAGGGCTCTGTTGCCATTTCCTGAGGAGTTTGTTCTTTCTGTGAGGAGAAGACACTGTGTTTTTAGAGTAGCACAGAACTTGAGACCTCAAAACAGGAACTTCTTTGAGCTGAGCTGAAAAAAATTCAAACCCTAACTAACTCCTGAAGTAGTAGCAACCAGTCATGTGGCCCACCCAGTGGTTAATGCCCCCAGAGCACCCCTCTGAACATGAGAGTCAGGATGAGGATAAGCCACTCTGGCAAGCGGCCTCTTCCCGTGCCGAGGTTTTCCATCTGTTTCCACTCGCTCTGAGGGGATGTGGGCAACACTCCTCCTGAATATTTGAAGATAACCACACACTTCTGCTCTGTGGAGCAAAAGAACTCCTTGATAATAAAATCTGTGATGACATCTCGTGGTTTCCTGCAGCGAGGGGCTGCACGTGCCCTGTGCTGCACAAGGAAGAGCTGATGGAGAGAGAGCTCACTGGGTGTGACATCCCCACGGCCTCCTCCTTCCCAGTGCATCCCAGTGCATCCCAGTGCGTCCCCAGGCAGGGAATCTGACCAGGACCACACCTACAGTGGTGTTGAGCTGAGGTTGCAAAGGGGCAGCAAGGTTTTTGTTTGGACCTGGATGAGAGAGAGGGTCTCTGACTCATCAGAATGAGGGTTAATGTTGTGTTTACAACTTAGACTGTCCTGGGAAAATCACACATGATCACAGAATCATCAAGGCTGGAAGAGACCTTCAAGATCACCCAGTCCCACCATCACCCAGCACCACCAGAATCATCCCTAAGCCGTGTCCTCGAGGGCCACATCCAGACATCTCTGGAACACTCACAGGCACAGGGACTCTACCACCTCCCTGGGACACTGAGGAGATGCAGAAGATCATTTTTACAGGCTCCAGGAGAATTATTTGTGGGGTGGGAGTAAGTGAGTCGAGTTCTAAAAACCTGGCCCTAACAAAACTCGAGCAGAGCAGCAGCAGCTCTGCTCCTTAACCCTCAACCCTGCCCACTTGTTTGCCCCATGAGCTGCTTGAGGTAATTCTTTGTCATGTTTTATATTGCAGCAGGTACAGAAAATTCAGATGACGCAAAAGGGAGGGTGTGTTTGTCTTGGAAAGAGCTGAGGTAAATACCACGTTTAACGTTACAGTGAAAATAAACTAAAAAAAAAAAGGTGCACTGCCCTTTTAAGTGAAGAGCACTGTTGCCAAAATATGGCTGGGAATTCCCTGAAAGGTTGGAGTGAGGTGTGAGTTGGGCTCTTCTGCCACATCCCAAGTGAAAGGATGAAAGGAAATTGCCTTAAGTTGTGACAGAGGAGATTCAGATGGGAGATTAGGGAAAAATGTTTTCCCTGCAGGATTGGTCAGGCCTTGGAATAAGTGTCCCAGGGAGGTGGTGGAGTCCCTGTGTCTGGGAGTGTCCCAGAGGTGTCTGGATGTGTCCCTTGGGGACATGGATTAGGGGTGATTGTGGTGATGCTGGATGATCCTGGAGGTCTCTCCCAACCTTCATGATTCTGGGATTTTGGGATCTCCAACCCACTGCTGAGGATTTCAAACCTGGGCACACAAAAGGGTTCAAAGGAGCGGAGTCTCCTTTGGGGTTGTGGTTCACACTCTCACTCTGGAAGCCCTGAGGTTCAAGGCAGAGGAAGAAACCAGCCAGGTTTACCCTCCCTCAGCTGGGAAGGAGTTGTGGCAGCTCAGGAACAAAAGCCAGGAACACAAAAGACAGACCCAGCTCTGCAAACCCGGCACAGGTGGCTGGAAATAATACTGGGCAAATACCCCCGGTCCCTGCTGAAAGTCCCTTTGTAGGAACATTTGCTGTGGGTGGTTCACACAGCTTGGCAAACAACCTGCCCTGGGACAAAAGAAAAAGGCTTCCCAGGAGCCATTGGGCACTAATGAACCTCCTGGATAAAGTTATCACGGGGACTTTTCCTGCCCTTGTGAACTTTAACTCCCTTCTCCGTTTCCATCTCCTGCTTGAGGAACTTCAGCTTTCACAGGAGAGGAAATTTTGGCCAGCAGACCTGTTGGAGACCCCTCAAATATGATTCCCCTTGTCCCCCAAACTGCATTTTGAGAGGGAAGAAGAGTCCAGTTGGCCAGGTGTCTGCTGAGCTCCCTGATTCTTCTCCAGGGATGTGGCTAAACTTTTAATATTTTAATATTTTAGGTCTCAATTTCCCTCTGGAAAACTGGAAAACTCCTTTGTGTTATCCCCTGAGGAGTGTAGAATTACCCATAGACAGATAGATATGTACTGTGGACACATATTTCTGTGGGTAGGTAGGTTTTATTCAAATAGGGAATTCACATTTTTGAAAAAAAAAATTAAAATAAAATATAATTAAAATTTAATGACATGGTCTATTGGGTGGCCCAGGAAAGATTTCTGTAATGAGAAAATCTGGCCTTCAGACCCTCCAGTGATGTGTGGGTGAGAGAGGGAATTCCTTCCTTAGAGAAGGAATTACCTGTTGCATTTTTCAGTAAAAATAGGGCCACAGATACTTTTTAGATCATTGTTTCTTTCCCTGTTCAAGTTCAGCCTTGAGTGACCGGGTCTGGGGTTTTGCTGTGGGTCTGTCCAATGTATGAAACACCTGAAAATGTTTAATTCTTAGAATCATGGAAGGGTTTGGGTTGGAAGGGACCTTAAAGCTCATCTTGTTCCACCCCCTGCCGTGGGCAGGGACACCTTCCACTAGCCCAGGTTGCTCCAAGCCCTGTCCAACCTGGCCTTGGATATTCCAGGGGTGGGGAGTCCACAACTTCTCTGGGCAACTTAAGATCTTCAGGAAGGGAATTGTTTGCTCCTTCATTTTGAGAAGCCTTCCAGCAATTTCTTTTAGCCCTCAGAGTTCAGCACAAAAGACTCTCCACCCCTGAATGATCCCAGAACCATCAAGGCTGGCAGAGACCTCCAGGATCATCCAGTGCCACCCTCACCCAGCACCACCACAATCACCCCTAATCCATGTCCCCAAGGGCCACATCCAGACACCTCTGGGACATTCCCAGACACAGGGACTCCACCACCTCCCTGGGACACTTATTCCAAGGCCTGACCACTCCTGCAGGGAAATCATTTTTCCTAACATCCCCTCTGAACCTCCCTGATTCCGCGGCCTCTTTAGGACGAATAAAGCGCAGGAAGAACGATCCAAAATTCTTTTTATTAAAGACACAACAGATGTTTCAGAACGTTTCAAGCTGATAAACATCTCATCCTGCCCTTTGAAGGTACCTCCTGGACCACAGGGAAGGTGCCATCCTTGCTCTGGGTGCCTCCTGCTCCCAGCAGCGCCAGGCAGGGATATTCCCACAGGATGTTCTTGCCTTTGCAACGACTTTATTACTCATCTGCCAACCAGCCAGAGCTCTGTGCTCACAGATGTGAAAAGCAAGGGGGTTTTAATAGGATAAATACAGCTCCTCTGGGGATAATTCTACCCCTGTCGGCTCGAGTGGAGAGATGCTCTTGCTCCTGTTTTTAGAGGAAGAAAAACAGGCTCCTCGAGCCTTTTCCCCCAAAGCACTTGGGACCACAGGGCTCTTCTCCTCTAACTGATTAATATTTAAAGGTTCTTTTGAGAACATAATCACAGAAGCTAAAGCAGAGCTCCAAACACAGTGGATCTCATTTGTGTGAAGAGTTTCCTGCTTGGCTGCAGTCTGGGATAAGCCCCAAGAACTTCAGGATCTCCATGGGGTCCCAGGAAGCTGTTGACAACCCCTGCACTCCTTAGTGGCATAAAACCCCACCAACACAGCAAGAAACAGTTTTACCTCCACAGAATTGTGATTTTTTCCCCCCTAATTTAATTACTAATAATACACTGTATAGCTTTAATTTATTGATTAATTAGAGGTCAGAAGTTTGTGCTTAGCATTGACATTTATCTCGGTTAGGAAAGCCCTAGAACCTGATAGTTTATCTTTCTCTCTCAGCATTATGCCTCTGGGACTGCTGGAAAAGCTCACCCTGATAAACCTTCTCCATAAAAGAAACCTCCCAGGAGCTCTCAGGTGGGGAGCAGTGGGATTTTTGAGACCCCTGCTGGTGGATGGTCCCTTTTCTTTGGAGGTCAACTGTGCGTGGGCTTTGCTGCCCCATCAGCTTTTCCTAGAAAATCACGTGCTGCTCATTGTGATGAAGTAAGTTTTTCTATGGAAATCATTACCTGATCTCACCTTTTGGAGATAAAAAAAGATAATTTTTTCCTGGAGAAAAGGAGGCTCAGGGGGGACGTTCTGGCTCTGCAAGTCCCTGACAGAAGGGGGGAGCCGGGGGGGGTCGGGCTCTGCTCCCAGGGAACAAGGGACAGGAGGAGAGGGAACGGCCTCAGGCTGTGCCAGGGGAGGGTCAGGTTGGACAGGAGGAGGAATTTCTTCATCTTCACCCCTGAAAGGATTTGCCTGGGAAAAGGGATATTAGTGCTCTCCTGGAGCACCTGGAGAGGGAACAACACACAGGAAAAAAACAGGACTTTATCAAAAGGATGATGTTGATATTGGGAGAAATGGAATTGTATTGGGCACAGGTAGATTTAGGTTGGAAACCACAGAAGATTCCCAGCCCTCTGAGGCCTGAGGCTGTGGCACAGATTTCCAGGAGGAGCAGGAGGGTGACCAGGTGTGGAAAGGTTTAATTTAAAGAGGCTCAGGGGGGACCTTCTGGCTCTGCAACCCCCTGACAGGAGGGGGGAGCCGGGGGGGATCAGGCTCTGCTCCCAGGGAACAAGGGACAGGAGGAGAGGGAACGGCCTCCAGCTGTGCCAGGGGAGGCTCAGGCTGGACAGGAGGAGGAATTTGTTGCTGGAAAGGGTGGTGAGGCCTTGGCAGGGGCTGCCCAGGGAGGTTTGGAGTGCCCATCCCTGGAGGTGTCCCAGGAAGGCCTGGATGTGACACTCAGTGCTCTGGGCTGGGGGACAAGGTGGGGATGGGGCACAGGGTGGACTGGATGACCTTGGAGACCTTTTCCAAGCTCAGTGAGCCCGTGAATTCTGCGAGTTCTGTTTTTCTGATGCTTTTGCTCCTGTTGGCTGATCCCCAGCAGCCCCCCCGCGTTTGCCGCGGTCCCTCCGAAGCCGTCGCGACAAACCCGGAGCAGAGGAAATCAGAGCCCAGCTCTGCAGTCCCCACTGTCCCTCCTCCCTGACCCCACTCCAAAGCTTGGCTGTAGGTGGGGTTTGTGCCACTGCTTTGTTCCCAAAGTACCCGAGCCCTGTTTGCCCAGCTGGTGTCAGCGCAGGGCTCTGTTTGGATTGCTCCGGAGAAAGATTTGCCTGAAAGGTTTGCATATTCCAAGAAACCACAATGATTAAGTACACACGAAAGAAAGCATTATGATGAATAATCAGGACATAATCAATGATACCCTTTTTGCATTATAAATGATGACGCTTATGCTCAACAGCTTTTAGGCAGAGCGTGGGTGTGACAGCTTGAAAAACAGTGTAGAGCATGACATGAGACCTGTCAGCTCTTAAATGAGGTAATTAATGACCTGCTAAGCATGCAGATTTTAAATGTCAGTTAATATTTTATTTTTTTTTTTGAAATATCTCAAGAGTAAAAAAAAAAATTATTTGCAATTTATCATTTTATTAGTAAAAAACTCCGGGTAAGAGCAGTGTGAGAAGTAACAGTGTTATGACAAAAATGCTTTGTGCTTTTAGCAGTAAAATATAAAATCAAACCTCCCTCTGAGATTCCTCTCACTCAACATCCTCTTCAGTGCATCACTTTAGAGGTCGACAGCTTTATTTTCTGTAAACACTCACTGCCTGGATTTTGGGATTTTGTCCTCAAAGCCAGAACCAGCTGCTTAAAACTGAGGCTCAGAAGAAAAGCAGGAACGAATTTCTTCTGCCAGATGTGGGTTCCTAATCCTGCCAGGTCTGAATTTGTGTGACCCCTCCTTCCAGGATTTGTCCGGTGGGGAAAAAGCACAGGTTTCAGTTTTAAGGGAAGTTTTTAAGCCTAATTCTTAATCTGAATTTGTGTGACCCCTCCTTCCAGGATTTGCCTGGTGTGGGAAAAAGCACAGGTTTCAGTTTTAAGGGAAGTTTTTAAGCCATGGGTTTTCAGGTGGTTGATGGGTCTCCGGGAGCTGAGACACTGAGCTGTGGCTCCCCAGCTGTTGTAATATTTTTAGCATTTTATTTTTGGGAAATAGTGGATACCAGATGAAAAATGGAAAGATTTCTTCTCCACGAAAAAAACCCTCTAAATATCCTCTTCTACTTCATGGATTAAAGAGGGGTTTTAACAAGACTCCACACGGTGGGAGACTCCGGGGTTGTACCCATGATCTGCTCATCCCAGACACACTCAGTTTGTCAACTCAAGCTTCCACCTGTTGGAAGCCAGGAAACCCTGGTGGAATCCCAGGAAATTCTTCACTCAGAAGGTGGGGAGGCCCTGGCACAGGTTACCCAGAGAAGCTGTGGCTGCTCCTGGATCCCTGGAAGTGTCCAAGGCCAGGTTGGAGCAACCTGGGCTAGTGGAAGGTGTCCCTACCCATGGACTGGGTGACCCTTAAGGTCCCTTCCGACCCAAACCATTCCATGACTTGGCTTCTGATGGCTGAACCCTTGGAATGCTTCCAAATCAGGGTTAATGTGCCACTGGCAGAGTGTGCAGAGCCTCCCTGCATTGTCACCCTCAAACAACGTCGTGAGTTTGTGTTCTGGTACAGTAAATCTTCCCTTTTAATATGGGTTTGGACCCTGAATGTTTAAAACAAACAAGGCCCTGAAAAGGTGGATTTTAATCTGTCTAATGACACCCAAAATACAGGGTGAAGATCTAGAGATTATAATTTAACAAAGATTGTTTCCTAAGTGCTGACTTAAGGTTGTGTTTACCCTCTGCATGCACAGTGAAATCTCGTTCAGGTGCTTTAAGAAATGAAAGGAAGTGTTTGGAACACTTTGTGCCAAGAATTGTAACCACTGAAAACTGACTTTAATCCTGGCTTAAAACGTCAAATGCCCAATTTTGTTTGGATGTGAGTCTTGTCTTGTTCATGTGACCAGTAACAGCAGCTTTGCCAACTCATTATAATAAGATTTTAATGAAAATTAACATCCAAATCTTGCAGGGCTCGATGGATATTTTTTTTCTCAGGGAAGAAAAAAGGATGCAGGTCTTCTTCAGCCTTCTTCCCAGGGCAGAATTTCCCTGATCCATCACAACATTGTTCCAGTAGGATGCCTCCAACTCCAAGCTTTTATTACCAGCGTGGAACTCAGTTTATTAGTTTGAGCTGCACAGAAGAAAAATGCATCAGCAGTAAAACAAACCACAAAAAATAGGAAGCATTGGTGTCACAGAAGAGATTTGATTTCATTTGATTTGATGAATATTTTTTGGAGTGTTGTGTTGGCTGCTTGTTGTGGAAATATGGGAATCTTCAGCTCTGGCAATGCATGGGATGAGTAGGAGCCTTCCTGCTTCCTACTGCATCCAGATGTGGGATCCCAGCACAGCAAGGACATGGAGCTGCTGGAGAGAGTCCAGAGGAGGCCCCAAGAGGATCCCAGGGCTGGAGCAGCTCTGCTGGGAGGAAAGGCTGGGAGAGCTGGGATTGTTCAGCCTGGAGAGGAGAAGCTTTGGGGTGACCTGATTGTGGCCTTGCAGGGCCTGAAGGAGCTCCAGGAGAGATGGAGAGAGACTATTTCCAAGGGATGGAGTGACAGGACAAAGGGAATGGCTTCAAACCAACAGAGAGCAGGGATAGATGGGATATTGGGAAGGAATTCCTGGCTGTGAGGGTGGGGAGGGGCTGGAATAGAATTCCCAGAGAAGCTGTGGTGGTGCTGGGTGATGATGGGACTGGATGATCTTGAAGGTCCCCTCCAGCCTTGACGATCCTCTGACTGTGTGATCACCCTGTGCAGGTTTTGGCCTGAGGGTCTGCAGTGATCTCACCATCCCATTGCCCTCATCAAGAGCCACTGTTTGAGACCTGGTTTTATTTAGTGCTTTCCAAAATCACATCCTTGAGCATTTGGCTGAGCACAGCTGAACTGTGTTTCTTTGCCCTCTGATCACCAGAAATATCTGGGGCTTTTCTCAACCATCCAGTTCACGTTTGTTTTCTCGAGTTAAATCATAGACAAGTCAACAGTAAAGTTTTCTTCATGACCCTCCTTCTCTTCAAAGATGACAGGGATGTGCTCGTGGGGATGAATCATAGAATCGTGGAATATCCTGAGTTGGAAGGACCCACCTGGATCATCCAGTCCAAGCCCTGGCCCTGCCCAGGACACCCCAACACTCCCCCCTGTCCCTCAGAGCATTGTCCAAACCCTCCTGGAGCTCTGGCAGCCTTGGGGCCGTGCCCACTGCCCTGGGGAGCCTGGTCAGTGCCCAACCAGCCTCTGGGGGAAGAACCTTGTCCTGAGATCCAACCTAAAACTAATCCCTATTTCCTTAGAATGTGTAGGAGCCAAACACCAAGATCTGAATGAAAATCCCAGGTACTTGCTTGAAAGATTACTTTATTTAATAGACCTTTGTTATTTTTTTCTTCATGGAACCATGGAATGATTTGGATTGGAAGGGATTTTAAGGATCATCCAGTGCCACCCCCTGCCATGGGCAGGGACACCTTCCACCAGCCCAGGTTGCTCCAAGCCCCGTCCAGCCTGGCCTTGGACACTTCCAGGGATCCAGGGGCAGCCACAGCTTCTCTGGGAATTCTATCCCAACCCCTCCCCACCCTCACAGCCAACAATCTCTTCCCAATATCCCATCTAACCCTGCTCTCTGGCAGTTTAAAACAATTTTCCCTACCTGACTAACTTTGCCACCTGACCGAGCTCCAGCTCTTTGCTACAACACCCAGAGTGATATTTTCCAAAAAATAATTCTCCTTTGCAGCCTTGGGAAGCAGCTTGGGCCCCACCAGGTGTTTCCAGCTTGAAATCAATGTCTTATGTCTTTGGATCAAGCGGGAGAAGCATCTTTGCAACAGATTCAAGACTTTTCTGACAGTGCTGGCCTTAAAAACTCACTCTCTCAGCTTTTCCTCTGCATTTTGCTGCCCCAGCTTCTGTTTGGTGCTTCCTTCCTTCTTTGCCAGCTTCTTTGGTGCTTCTTTTGATTTTTTTTCTAATTTTTTTTTTAAAATTCCAAGTAAAAAAGCAGAAGGAAAGCCAGATCCATTGATCAGCAGCCTAAGTTCTCTTTTTTTTTTTCCATATTGAAGCCAAATGCCTTTGAGCCAGATGG